TACTACCACTCTAGTGATCCCCATTTATTCTACCACCACTCTAGTGATCCCCATTTATTCTACTACCACCACTCTAGTGATCCCCATTTATTCTACTACCACCACTCCAGTGCCCCCCTCTATTCTACCACCACTCTAGTGATCCCCATTTATTCTACCACCATTCTAGTGATCCCCATTTATTCTACTACCACCACTTCAGTGATCCCCATTTATTCTACCACCACTCTAGTGATCCCCATTTATTCTACCACCACTCTAGTGATCCCCATTTATTCTACTACCACCACTCCAGTGCCCCCCTCTATTCTACCACCACTCCAGTGATCCCCATTTATTCTACCACCACTCTAGTGATCCCCATTTATTCTACTACCACCACTCTAATTATCCCCATTTATTCTACCACCACTCTAGTGATCCCCATTTATTCTACTACCACCACTCCAGTGATCCCCATTTATTCTACTACCACCACTCCAGTGATCCCCATTTATTCTACTACCACCACTCCAGTGGCCCCTCTATTCTACCACCACCACTCCAGTGATCCCCATTTATTCTACCACCACCACTCTAGTGATCCCCATTTATTCTACTACCACCACTCCAGTGATCCCCATTTATTCTACTACCACCACTCCAGTGCCCCCCTCTATTCTACCACCACTCTAGTGATCCCCATTTATTCTACCACCACTCTAGTGATCCCCATTTATTCTACTACCACCACTTCAGTGATCCCCATTTATTCTACCACCACTCTAGTGATCCCCATTTATTCTACCACCACTCTAGTGATCCCCATTTATTCTACTACCACCACTCCAGTGCCCCCCTCTATTCTACCACCACTCCAGTGATCCCCATTTATTCTACCACCACCACTCTAGTGATCCCCATTTATTCTACTACCACCACTCTAATGATCCCCATTTATTCTACCACCACTCTAGTGATCCCCATTTATTCTACTACCACCACTCCAGTGATCCCCATTTATTCTACTACCACCACTCCAGTGATCCCCATTTATTCTACTACCACCACTCCAGTGGCCCCTCTATTCTATCACCACCACTCCAGTGATCCCCATTTATTCTACCACCACCACTCTAGTGATCCCCATTTATTCTACTACCACCACTCCAGTGATCCCCATTTATTCTACTACCACCACTCCAGTGATCCCCATTTATTCTACCACCACTCCAGTGATCCCCATTTATTCTACTACCACCACTCCAGTGATCCCCATTTATTCTACTACCACCACTCCAGTGATCCCCATTTATTCTACTACCACCACTCTAGTGATCCCCATTTATTCTACTACCACCACTCCAGTGATCCCCATTTATTCTACTACCACCACTCTAGTGATCCCCATTTATTCTACTACCACCACTCCAGTGATCCCCATTTATTCTACTACCACCACTCTAGTGATCCCCATTTATTCTACTACCACCACTCCAGTGATCCCCATTTATTCTACTACCACCACTCCAGTGATCCCCATTTATTCTACTACCAACACTCTAGTGATCCCCATTTATTCTACTACCACCACTCCAGTGATCCCCATTTATTCTACCACCACTCCAGTGATCCCCATTTATTCTACTACCACCACTCCAGTGATCCCCATTTATTCTACTACCACCACTCCAGTGATCCCCATTTATTCTACCACCACCACTCTAGTGATCCCCATTTATTCTACTACCACCACTCCAGTGATCCCCATTTATTCTACTACCACCACTCTAGTGATCCCCATTTATTTACTACCACCACTCCAGTGATCCCCATTTATTCTACTACCACCACTCCAGTGATCCCCATTTATTCTACTACCACCACTCCAGTGATCCCCATTTATTCTACTACCACCACTCCAGTGATCCCCATTTATTCTACTACCACCACTCCAGTGATCCCCATTTATTCTACTACCAACACTCTAGTGATCCCCATTTATTCTACTACCACCACTCCAGTGATCCCCATTTATTCTACCACCACTCCAGTGATCCCCATTTATTCTACTACCACCACTCCAGTGGCCCCTCTATTCTACTACCACCACTCCAGTAGTATATTTTAAAAGCAAAAGGTACCCCGTGATAAAAACTAGTTAAGACTATCTTTTTGCAATGAAATATTTGAATTTCAAGGAAAAATATCATCTGTTGTTTATGATTATTCTTGCCAAATAACTATGAAACAAATTGAAATAAAATTGTTATTCTGACAACAAATGAAAATCGTATTTTACAAAGATCTGTGGAATGTTCAGAACTGTTCAAAATAAATGGTTATCGATGACAACATCGTATGTTTCTATATTAGATTTAAATATCGCTACGTTCTCAAATAAATGTACAATACATATACCAATAACTGGTATAAATTAATTATACCACTGCAGTGACGTCGAAAACACAAGGGATTTCAACTACCATTAAAACGTCACCAGTCAATTTGTGTAAAAAAATGGAATTTTCCCAGCATCATGGTGACAGCCTTTGTCTTTACTAATCCAAATTTTCTCGAGCGCTTTCGTTCCTAACTTGTCGAAATCTATTAGAGATAACATGATTGTCAAAACAAACTACTGAAAGTCGAACCCGTTTCCAGATGTTAAAAAGAACTGACAGTACATATAATTTTTGTTGTTGTAGGACTGCTAATTCAATAACAAAAATCTAACTTAAGATATAATTTTGTTTCTCTGCCGTAAATCGGATCTATTCTATTAATTTCGTGATTTCCCGGAACAACTCCGTTGCATGCCAACTTATATCTGATGAATGGATAGGTGATTTATCAGTCCACGTGTCGTGGACAGTTGTCGTCTAAGATTACCGAAGGCAGATCTTGTTTGAAATGTCGCCCATGTTAATCCTATTAGTCATTCTCATTATAGAGAACAGATTCATTTTATTAGCTCTGTGGAAAGGCAATTTTTACTGTCACAATGATGATTTTAATGATAAAAGTCGGATTCATACCTAACAGGAGAATCGCTGCTTTCATTACAACATGGTTGGTACTGCGATGTTTACCTCAGCTCAAACTCAGCTTCAGAGGTCGCTTGTATCCGATGACAAGGCCAAGGTGAAGGATTATTACGATGTAGTTGATGTCAATATATAGGTGATTTCGTGATGTTTTCGTAGGTAAGAAAATAACAATGGTGATGAACGACCCTGTGATGGATGGTGTTAGTTATGCTGTGTATGGGTGTGGCGATGTCAGTTTCGGTGTGCTTTTGGTGGGTGGTGTTGTATGTTAGAGTTGTCGTGGTGTTCGTCAAGACACAGTGGTGTTTGAATAGTGAATTATTGTGATGATGTTGGTTTGGTGGTTGTGGTATAAGTGTTCCTTATACGGTCGCTGTCCTTGTTCTGAACTTCGATTAAAATCATTGGGTATTGATAAAGACGATTAACTATATAAATTCTCTCTAGCATATACAATGTGTCTTTGGGCAAGACTTGTAAATGCGACGGACCTCTCGCATGCTGCTCAGTGAGGTAAAGGAGGCCATGTATCATACTGACCCTGGATGTTCACGGGATGATAAATCTAGCAAATAATACAGACATTTGGTATAAAAGTATCGGATACGATTTCTTAAATAACGTCGGTGTACTGAACAAGCGTATCAATCTGGTATTATCTGAGTAACCTTTATTATTGTGGATATCATTTAACAGGCAAACAACTTCTCTCACGAACACTTACATCCGGATACGCTAAAAATGCTTTCATGTCTGTTTTCAATAGGACAAGAAGCTATAAGAGTTTCGTTTTTCCATGTGAAGGCAATAAATAATTTCCTTCCCTCGAATTTCAATTCACATTTCCGAATGAAACTAGAAAGTTCAAGATTTTAATCATTATGAGTATTGTAATGTAATTCCAACATCCTAGAACATATTTGTTGGTGTCAAAGTATGCTTAGATTACTGCCGTTACGACAGATCCGGTTTTTATATTACATCATCGATCTATTGCACGAAAACCTTCACCTACAGAAACAATCTTACTTGAATACAAACACTTTCATTTTTTTTGCTTACTAATATTTCATTTCCAATAATTGATGCCAGAATAAAAGCAATTAGTAGCATCGTCAAAGTAGCAGTTATGATAATTCAATTCCCAGGAAAAACGAGATAATAAACGCATGCGAAGAGCAAATGTTGCTGGTTTAGGATTCTGCTGTTGTGAGCTCTCTCTGTAGATTGGCGTTTAGTTTTCAATGTTCAGTATCAAAGAATTCTTTTGTATTTATGCATTTTCTTAACTATCGAAATCAATACAATTATATATCTTACAAAAGAGGCTTAAGCTAAAACTACAGGAACAATACGTAAAAAGTAATATATACATTTATGTACATGAAATGGATTTCGAAACCCCTTTCCACCACTGCCTTATCTTTCCTAAACATGCTTTTGGATGAGGTGATTAACGTATCTAAGAGAAATTCATAACAACAACTATATTTGTATGTGCAATTCCGTATGGACACGCAATGTTGATAAACATTGAGCCGTTCAAAAAAGAAAATAACTATGACTGTAAGATATGATTGGATTTGACGTATAAAGATAGCGGTAAAACTATTTAACCTACTTAAAATATATTGTAAATTGCGGAGTAAGCTATGGCTGACAGATCGAATCTCGCTGCCGTAATTCCAGCTTTACATCCAATTAATACTGATACGCATGCTGTTTAAACAGCACAGTATACGTGCTGATATAATGCTTAAAAAAGCACAGATACAAGTCGGTATCCTGCTGAAAAAGCAGAGAAACAAGTCGGCATCCTGCTGTAAAGCACAAAAACAAGTCGGCATCCTGCTGTAAAGCACAGATACAAGTCGGTATCCTGCTGTAAAGCACAGAAACACATCGGCATCCTGCTGTAAAGCACAGATAAAAGTCAGCATCCTGCTGAAAAAGCACAGATACAAGTCGGCATCATGCTGTAAAGCACAGATACAAATCAGCATCCTGCTGTAAAACACAGATACAAGTCGGCATCCTGCTGAAAAAGCACAGATACACATCAGCATCCTGCTGTAAAGCACAGATACAAGTCGGCATCCTGCTGAAAAAGCACAGATACACATCAGCATCCTGCTGTAAAGCACAGATACAAGTCGGCATCCTGCTGTAAAGCACAGATACAAGTCGGCATCCTGCTGTAAAGCACAGATACAAGTCGGCATCCTGCTGTAAAGCACAGATACAAGTCGGCATCCTGCTGAAAAAGCACAGATACACATCGACATCCTGCTGTAAAGCACAGATACAAGTCGGCATCCTGCTGAAAAAGCACAGATACACATCGGCATCCTGCTGTAAAGCACAGATACAAGGCGGCATCTTGCTGAAAAAGTACAGAAACACATTGGCATCCTGCTGTAAAGCACAGATACAAGTCGGCATCCTGCTGAAAAAGCACAGATACAAGTCGGCATCCTGCTGTAAAGCACAGATACAAGTCGGCATCCTGCCGTAAAGCATAGATACAAGTCGGCATCCTGCTGAAAAAGCACAGATACACATCGGCATCCTGCTGTAAAACACAGATACACGTCGGCATCCTGCTGTAAAGCACAGATACAAGTCGGCATCCTGCTGTAAAGCACAGATACAAGTCTACATCCTGCTGAAAAAGCACAGATACAAGTCGGCATCCTGCTGTAAAGCATAGATACACATCGGCATCCTGCTGTAAAGCACAGATACAAGTCGGCATCCTGCTGTAAAGCACAGATACACATCGGCATCCTGCTGTAAAACACAGATACAAGTCGGCATCCTGCTGTAAAGCACAGATACAAGTCGGCATCCTGCTGAAAAAGCACAGATACACATCGGCATCCTGCTGTAAAGCACAGATACACATTGGCATCCTGCTGTAAAGCACAGATACAAGTCGGCATCCTGCTGTAAAGCACAGATACAAGTCGGCATCCTGCTGAAAAAGCACAGATATACATCGGCATCCTGCTGTAAAGCACAGATACAAGTCGGCATCCTGCTGTAAAGCATAGATACAAGTCGGCATCTTGCTGAAAAAGTACAGAAACACATTAGCATCCTGCTGTAAAGCACAGATACAAGTCGGCATCCTGCTGTAAAGCACAGATACAAGTCGGCATCCTGCTGTAAAGCACAGATACATGTCGGCATCTTGCTGAAAAAACACAAATACACGACGCCCTCCTGCTGAAAAAGCAGATACACGTCGGCATCCTGCTAAAAAAGTACAAATACAAATGCATTCATGCTGCTCAAAAAAAAGAACTCTGATATATATGTCGGCATGTTGCTTAAAAACACGGATATATATGTCGGCATGTTGCTTAAAAACACGGATATATATGTCGGCATGTTGCTTAAAAACACGGATATATATGTCGGCATGTTGCTTAAAAACACGGATATATATGTCGGCATGTTGCTTAAAAACACGGATATATATGTCGGCATGTTGCTTAAAACTCGGATATTCGTGTCGGCATGTTGCTTAAAAACACGGATATATATGTCGGCATGTTGCTTAAAAACACGGATATATATGTCGGCATGTTGCTTAAAAACACGGATATATATGTCGGCATGTTGCTTAAAACTCGGATATTCGTGTCGGCATGTTGCTTAAAAACACGGATATATATGTCGGCATGTTGCTTAAAAACACGGATATATATGTCGGCATGTTGCTTAAAAACACGGATATATATGTCGGCATGCGGCTTAAAACTCGGATATTCGTGTCGGCATGCAGAATAAAAACACGGATATATATGTCGGCATGTTGCTTAGTCGGCATCCTGCTGTAAAAACACGGATATATATGTCGGCATGTTGCTTAAAAACACGGATATATATGTCGGCATGTTGCTTAAAAACACGGATATATATGTCGGCATGTTGCTTAAAAACACGGATATATATGTCGGCATGTTGCTTAAAAACACGGATATATATGTCGGCATGTTGCTTAAAAACACGGATATATATGTCGGCATGTTGCTTAAAAACACGGATATATATGTCGGCATGTTGCTTAAAAACACGGATATATATGTCGGCATGTTGCTTAAAAACACGGATATATATGTCGGCATGTTGCTTAAAAACACGGATATATATGTCGGCATGTTGCTTAAAAACACGGATATATATGTCGGCATGTTGCTTAAAAACACGGATATATATGTCGGCATGTTGCTTAAAAACACGGATATATATGTCGGCATGTTGCTTAAAAACACGGATATTCGTGTCGGCATGTTGCTTAAAAACACGGATATTCGTGTCGGCATGCAGAATAAAAACAATGATACTCGTGTCGGCACGTAACTTCAAAACACTGGTACTGGTGTCGGCTTGCAGCTCAAACACTGATACTCGTGTTGGATTGCAGCTCAAACACTGGTACTCGAGCATGCAAGTTAACAACGTGTTGTTCGGTCAGCTGAAGAATTATCCGGATCATGAAGGTTTCTCTGTGTAAACAAAAATGCATCCCTTATCCGTGTCGTGTTGATGCCCTCCTCTGATACTAACACAATACAAGTTAAACCTGTTAGCACCATTAGATACTTGTAGATCCACCACGTGACAGTAGCAGGAAGACCATCACCCAAGCTCAATCATCAGGGATAGACTCGTTTTCTAACACATGAAGAATCACAATCATCTTCGGGGGGTCCTTTCTTTTGCGACCTGAGACATTAGATATTGAAATATGTGGAATAGTTCGTCTGAGATGTCAGACTAACCAACGTGATTCTGTGATATGGATTCTTCAAGAATAAAGATAGACTTGGAATTGATAATTGAAACGTTTCATTCAGGATATCCTAAACAGATGTACTTCAATACAGACACTGTCACCACAAAATGCATGATGAATGTTGTTGGAGTACCTTGCCCGGATGTTACTTAAGTGGTAAATGCGACAAAACATATTTCTTATGTATCCCTTTAACGTCGCAAGTGGTTGCTTACATTAATTAAACAGTCTTTCAGACGAATTTCTTATTGATGGCGTTTGACTCATGGAATGCAATTCAAACTAAAATACTTGTGATATTTCACAATTATTCAACACACCCCCGGTGTCCAATATTCTATCCGACAATGACAATTAATATTGTATAGTATCACATGGTTAAAACCAATCAACTGTGTTGGTTTATTAAATAGGAATGGTTTGTAGCTCGCATTTTACAAAATAATGAGTTCTACCATTGCGTGAAAATATAACAACGCTCATGTCTTTGTGAAAAACCCAAATTCGAAATTGTTATTTAGAGGAATTCACATGGCGATAAATCAGAAATGTACAGCGAAATATGTCAGTCCCTGTATTACAAGGTATCTGAGGTCATTTGTTTAGGTCTAAGGTTCAGCGCAAAGGCTGATCTCCTTAACCATTACTACAGAAATACATGAAGCAAAAGTGACACTTGTAACTTTCGAACAAATATCTATGATCCGCATCAACATAACTCAGGATTGGGCATCACGTAAGTCGATGAGATAATTTTCTATACAATATAAGTCCTGTAACATGTTGCCGTAGTCTGAACGTGACAAAATGAATAAATAAATGTTGCATGATTAGGTAAAATATATTAACTGTTTCTTAAGATATAAGATCCATTTTTCGAGCAGAAAGATAAAGCGGTTGAGTGAAGGCTTGGTACTTTTAACACTTCTTTATCTTTGACAAAATATAACTCATATCTAAGATTATATTAAGATATTTATTGATTAAAATATGAATTCTTTATTCAACGATAAAGAGAACAAAACTTATTCGCCACCAACTCGGTATGGTAATCCGTCATGTCTACAAAAATAACTTTTCCCAAACACGACAGCGTTAGCTAGTAGTAGACAGTAAGCAGTTAACAGTGGGCGGTAAGTCGTAGGCAGTAGACAGTTCTATAACATTTATTGTAGATCACATAGAAACAACACTTTCGGAAGTCAATAAATAGCAGTATGATATAGGATAATGTTTGGTTTGACAATCAGGCGGTAAGAAAATTATTCCTCTCTCCTCTGGGATTTTAAGTCGTGTAAGAAAGAGGTAGAAAATACAAGATGTATGTGTCTATTTTAATGATAAAAATCGGCCACAAGTACTTAAACAGATCTTAACCTAGTAACTCCTAAAGTCTCACAGATTTATAGTCCCAAAGGAAACTTAGATCGAAACAAGGTGGACTTAGGCTAAGTCAATTTAACCAAATACTATTTTTAGAAGAAATCGATCATTGATTGGGTGATGTCGGTCTGAAATCTTGAAAGAAGTATATTTGTCAGTCTGGGTGAGAATGAAGATAAAATAAAAGATGTAACACTAATTCAAGATAAAATGGTCGCAGACGGAATCCAAAAATTTACCCAATGTCTACGTTGTGTTATTGATAAAATGGTCCTCTGAATATCAAACATGTTTACTCTATCTTGATATTGACTCCACCACTGACTTTAAATGAGTTTCATTTCATGGTCCAATTTACATGTACGCTAATATACAAAAATAAAGATAGGTGTTAAATTTCCAACCCCGTCGTGGTCTGTGTCATTAAATGTGTTCGATTACACGTTTACGAAGTCTGTTGAAAAAAGTGTGTGTTTTCGAGGTGAAATTTTGGTTCAAGTATTTCACCTGATCAACATTTTGATTATTTCTGTATTTACATGTAGGTTCTACGATCAAAGACTTCCCTCTCGTATTGACATAATGTCACGCGCCAGGTGAATCAATGCGACAAGCAGGACATCAACACGACCTATTTATCTCATTACTGATGGATCTGATCGAAACCTTCCCAATTGTCTGGTATTGAGGATGTGTGTGGAAGCTTATTAAGATTTGAGATGTGATAACGTGGTGATTTGTATCATCCTAGCTGTATAGATGTATGTTATTGCTTCGTTTACTTACAATCGAACAGATTTTTGTATGCGATTGCTGGTCATTCCAATACGTACAAATTTAATTCGCAACACATTAGTCCGGAGAGCTGTCTGGTGACATTAAGTGAGTGAAATTAGTGGGGTTTTTTCTCCATCTTCCTAGTAAACCCAAATTCGAAGGTAAAGAAACATGTTTAGTACGAGCATTGTCTTGTCCACATGTAGCATGCAGTTCTTTTAGACAAATACATAATATATTTTATAGTATCGAAATTAGGACCAAATGTATAACAAAAAGAGATTCTATTCTCCAGGATTCCTTTAGTTCATTGATTCTCTCTCTGTCCTATGTATTTGCAGATTATCACTTAAATTGTCTCTTACGTCGATAGATTTTCTCTTTGTCGTTTAATTTAGGATAATTATTCCTTTTCCTCGTTCATTTCTTGTTTCTCTATCTTTCATTAGTGGGCTAGAAATAGAAAGAGGGATACGTTGATATTGGGTTGATAACGGATCGTATCAAAATGTGGAAAAAGGCATTGATTCATACAGTATATAGAAGGCCAAGTTTTCTTTTACATTGAAAGTACTCACTTGATTATTTCACAAACACTAGCCTGAAATATTTCATATTAACAATATTTTCTGATTATAATAAACACCTGTAGCATGCAGCGTATTCTTGATAAACGAGTTCGGATATAAAACTTATAGAACGACACAGTATTTACTATGTGAAGAATACGGAGAATAACAAAATTACATATCCCTTTATTTGAAAGCTTGTGGGATGTTTGAACAAACTGCTATACATGACTGATAACCTCGTTCTATACTACATTTTCCTTTACTAAAATATCCTACATGTTAACGGTTAAGGTAAAGTCTACTTGTTCTTTTTATTGATGTGCGATGTTGGTAATTTTCCATTAATAGCTCAAGCTTGGATGGTACATAAATTATACACAGAAGAGGTAAATGAAATGATTAACGTTTTGATCGTCAGATACAAAGCTCTTTCCTTCATGTAGTACATTTTTATGGTCTGGATTAAAGTCAGGTTAAAACTGCTCGTGTTAGTACCCCAAAGACATTCAGTTCGTCAGACTGTAGCTGCCTTTACTTCGGTCAATGCACCCTTAGGGAAACCAATAACACCGGAAGGCTGAAAGGCGCATGCGGCGTTTGTTAAATAACGGAATGAAAAGCCATATTACACTCGATTAATCCTATTCCATCAATATGATTAGCTTTTATAGGGACAAATATTTCCCTCCACTTCTTACTGTTTCAATGTGACGGAGACGCGGAACATGACATTTGAACGGCGTTTCTGGTGCCGGATCGATACGTGGCAGCCCCGCCGACAAGGTACTGCTGCCATGCGCCTGTTCCGTGATACAAACTAAACTGGATTGATGATAATTCCCTTCTCATATATTTCAGAAACCATTTCACCAGCAAATAACTTCGGCAAAGCGCAACGAAATATCAACTCAAGCTAGTTTGATGGAAAATGGTGAACCCCGGCTCGACTACTTCTCACCAATCGCCAATCAACATTGTTGACATTTGTGAAAACGTTTGTTGTAAGCAGACGACAGCATGTAGAATGTGTTTACTCTACCCCACTGCCGGATTGTCATACAATGCAGGATTTGAATCGTACAGAGAACAATAGGAACAGAGATTTGTTGGAGGTTGTTCTCCAAAACAAGGAGGAAGCTAGATTATCCTCTGCAGACCCTATACAAAGGATTGCTACCTCTTTGCATGCAACTAACGGTAACCTCAGTCGCCCTTCAAGCTTCGTATCCAAACGAAGCACAACATTATCGCAGTCTCAGGAGCACTTAAGCGATGACGAACCCTCTATGGTCCAGGAACGGAAAAAGAGTACAAACTCTGTTCAAAGCAGTATAATTGGTTTAGGCCTTCTTTGTATTGTGTCGGTGGTACAAAGTGCAGTTTCAGTGCAAATACTCTACTACATATCGGAGGCCCGCCGAGATGAACAGTCCCCCAGGAATGGGACATTATTGTCGACTCCAAAGGATTTCGATGACGTATTAGAAGTTGCCACCGCGTTCTGCACATTTGTGCTCGTGCTGTGTGTAAGCTGTTTACTAGTATGCTCTATGCAATGTTTCTTTGCCTCCAGGATTCTTCAAGTGGCCGAGGGAGAAGAAAGGTGAGTGTTTTATTATATAGGCTTTTTTTAAACTAAATGGGGATAAGCACTTAATAAATATTTTACGGTATCTAGGGAAACAAAGCTAGGAACAAAAAATAAAAAAATAAAAATTGAAGTTCCTATGTGTAGGGAGAAAACGTCAGTGTATTGGTTTACAACTGTGACTAGTCCTCAGACAAGCTGAAATCCTACACTGGACATAACGATCCGTGTCTCCTTCTCGCCTTTTACAACCTTTAAAATATCAATATTTTTGTTTCAATTCTTTACCATTGCTTCTCTCGGTTATAGTGTACAAACTAAAAGCTACAGGGATTTTTCCCTCACTTTTATAGGTGACAGTAAATACACTTTTTACTTACCACGTGTTTCACAAAGGAATCACTGGCAAAGCTTTTCTGATCATAATGGAATTGGTGTATATTTTTACCTGCACTAATTGTTTAAAAATCAGTATTGCAGTTCTAAAAACACTTAATCTGATTAAAGTGAATTTTCAAGTTAATTTGCGAAGAACGTAAAATCTCTAAGGGCATCAAATGGGTTTAGGATTTCAATTTATTGAAGGAGATGGAGGTATGGAAGGGGCAACTAGAGGGAATGTGACCTGATGTCCATGTGAACCATTTATGATGAAAAGAGTAACCACAGAATATTAATTGTTTCAATTAATATGTTAGAGACTCTCATTCCTGGGCCCATATTCCAGCATGTACCCTGGACCCGTCCCTGTCTGATATATGAAACAGACCATACTCCCTTCGGCAGTTGAGGAACAGGATGGAACCCCCTAGGCATTTAATCGAACAGACGAATTACTTATTTGGAATTATCCCTATAAATATGGATGACTATCCCCTGTTGTTAGTCTTAATCACCTCGCGATAGGAAGGACAGTTTTTAGGCCAGGCTATACAAATTTTAGTATTTAGCACTGTCATATGTTGGATTGCGCCAATAACAGAGCTCCGTTTTGTCTGGAACTCGATCGCTGTCAGATAGGATCACGTATAAGTTTATGTATTCTGTATGTGCCTTAGATTGTTTTGTGTCGTCGGGTACCAGTTATATACCCTACTCCACGTCGTTTCGTCAGCTATTGTTGAAGGATAATAATTAGTAATGTTTTATTCGACACAGAAACATTCAACGTGCGCATAAAAATGATTTGCCAAACATCAATCGTATGCAAGAATAAAACCTTTTTATGTGGTAAACATGTAAAACCGTACAGGTTAAGTTACTGTTGTACAGAAATTGTTTGATATATAATAGATGAAATTTCCATTTAGGGAATCAGGCACGTCAATTCCTGTCCAGCTCTATTCAATTATTGTATATAAACGACTTCCTACGGAGAAATTCGTGTTGGTATTGTCTGCTCCAGGCTTAACATCACAACATAAATGGTCACTCGGCGTTGCTTTCAATACAATATACACTGGCTGATACTGAAAAGGTCTATACTGTTGTGGATCTTTGAAAGATGTGGGAGCAGATTTTGGTAAATAAATTTCAAAATATAGATAAATAAATTGAACAGCTCTTTTCTATCAGCGTTAGACCTCGCACTCGTTTTGCAAGTTAATTAGCTCAAAGATCGTTATCCCGATATCCAGACGGCAATATGACGCTTGTAATGGATGACTGAGTGATGTTTTAGCGACAGTTTACCAGTTGACACTGTCTGATTTGGCGAGGTTGGAAGTGACCTCGTAACACGTTCACATTCGTGTTTAAAATTCCAAGACATTTACCACCTTATGTGTCACAGACAATGGCAAATGATTGACGTAATCATGTCTACTGTCTGTTGCATTGTTTTCGGTTGAAGGCGCGCTCTACGTTATGGAGGTCGGTGAAGATGACGGCGAAGGGTCTTACTGCTTGTTCTTTTCAAAGCGACCTTTCATATGAAACCAACATGGTCTCTTCCGGCCTCACCAAAGGGTCATCAGTTAAATTGTTGGTAAAACACCTCTTGATATCCCGTTACAAATATCAGTGTTCAAAAATATTAATGACGCCAACGGCGATTCCGATATCAGTAACTCCTCGTTGCCAACTATCATTCAATACATGTTGGTAACAGAAACTCTACGTAAGGTTTAGAATATCTGTTGTTGGGTTCTACATTCTTTAGAATTGGCTAGGATATGCATTGATCCGTCTAACATTCCGAAAAAATAGTTAAATGATACGATGTTTCAAGTTCGGCGAGACGGAGATTCACAAACAAAAACAGACATAGTAATCAAATATGTTGCACCACAAATATACTGGGTTTTTTTTCTTATTATTTTCTTATCATTTTTTTGTTTTTGTTTTATTTTGTTTTTTTGTTTTTTGTTTTTTTTTTAAGATAAATATAGATAAATAATCATTTGTCATCCCCTTCAGATCTCAAAAAAAGTATACTTGTCACGGAATAGATGAAGCATTATTAATTTGAAATCAATACACAGGGTTCTGGAGCTGTATTATCTCGACATTGTAATTGATTTTAACAAAATTACGGACCCAGAGGGACACATCTGTGTTTATTGGAGTAATCATGGTCGGTGTAAGAATACTGAGCGAACCATTACTTCAAGGTCTATGTCTCCATAGGTTGTTTATTGTTCATATTTGTTACCCACAATTCCCTCGGGTCATTATCAGTCAGAACGTTCCGGAAAGGGGTTTGCGTGTTAATTTGTAATTGATAGTACTGACATGTCAAGCTACAATGAGATGTAATACGTGAACTGTACGTTGAAGTTCGGGCATGGGCGGACGCAGATCGAGTCCTCCTTTAAAATGAGTTACCGGTACATAGCAATCACGAACACTCATTTTTCGGCATTTTTCGTAACTGGGGAAATAACGCTTACTAGGCATATCAAAACGCGAACAGCCATAATCAATTTAAGTCGGGACTTAGTTGTAGAATCAGATGGCTACCTCACTAACCAAAATAAGGGAGTCCTTTTGCATACTATCCCGAACAATTTAGGTAAAGTGTAACACTCTAGGACCAAGACCAAGACAGAACAGGATTGTCCGCTTCTCGGCCTTCTGAGAACAATAGGAGCATCGAGCTGCGTACCTCTGCTCATCACCTGAGATCACCTACAGGTGTAGGTGAACACTCTACTTAGTGATAGTAAAACATTACAAAAAATCGCTCAATAGTTACACAAAATTAATCCTTAACGATAAAAATCTAGGACGGACAGAAAAAAATATGATCAGTCTGGTTGCTCTTTTTACTGTGGATTTGCTATGTCTTTATTAACGTATGTCAGTTTTTAACACTATTTGATATATTTTCTGCCAAGAATTATCACATTTTTGTGACCTCCAAGACTGGCACAGTCTTATCTTACATGCACACATGTTAAAGATTCTGTTTCTCCGATTTTCAACCTTTATAATAACATATAACAGACCTAACTTATCTCCGCTTATCTCAAGGGGACTCCATGTTTTCAAAAATGTTTCACAGTTTTCTTGGCGCATTTTATAAAAGAATAGCAGTCATTTCAGACAATTCCAATAACAAATATCAACATTTCGAATTCAATATTTCTATCATATTACGCCAAGCGATATTCAAATTCGACATACCGAATCTGTCAGCTAACTGCCAACTCCGGATGTACATGCGCGTTGAAATATAGTAATGTTAAGTGTATAGATACACACTTTCTTTATTTTAATATGTTTTGAAATAGAAATTATTAATAGTTAACAAACATGTTTTACATATTGCAATATTTTCTGAAGTGTTTTGTATAAATGATATTCCCAGAGCTACTTCTCGCGTCATTGTGTTCGCGACAGTCGAATATTACACGCGTAGAAAACAATAGATCACTGACGTGTAACAGTATGCGTCCCTGATTTGATGTAGTGAGCAACATTAAAGTTAACTTGATTTAAATAAATTTGAATGCTAATTATTTCAACATATGTGGGTGACAACGATTTATTTCAATTATTCCACATACAATTAAAAATGAGAATAAGATGCAGCTTGGCAACTCCACATGAATATCATAAAAATGCTAATCAAGTTATCCAAGAAAAGTGTTTTTGAATGGAGTAATGGAAAATAAACTAAACAGTTGTTACTGTGGCAAGTAAATTTAACTTAAAAATCTTCAATTTTATGTCATTTTTCTGAGAATATTTTACATGTATTTCACGGGATATAAACTACTCAGAATTCTAATATAATCCTAACTATACGAGATAATACGAAGACATTTAAATATACAATTAATTAAGCAAAAAACAAAATATATCGACTTTCGAAATAAGTGCTTTATTCTTATATTGGGCAGAGAATATTAACGAACAAATTATAACGATTAAGAAAATGTGATTAAAAGTATTATATACTTTTACAATCGATATTTTGTTCACACGGACGAATCACCAAAAGGTTTATACTGATACGCCGGTTGTCGGTCCGTTCTAGGCAGGAACAACAGCAGCATCAATCAATTCTAAGTTCCATATACTAGCGAAAAACTCTCTTCAAATCGCCTCCTCTTTTCATAAAAAGGGTGTCATGCACTGCAGGAAATAAACCGAAACAGGGAATGAGTCTCGAAATATTGTATAATGTAATTGAAAACTCGCCAGGCTGGTAGTATTATTGGCTTAAGGGAAGTTTTGTTCTAGCCCAGTACCGCGAAGGCAATATGGAACGATTTATTGAATTTTGTTTTTAATACTCTTTACATTTGGTATGTTATAATCAGTGTCACAGAAATACTCGTATTGCTTGGAGTCTAATTGATCAAGACTGAGATCAACTTCCACTAGCTAGACTGGAGTTCGATAGAGTTCAGACGATATATTTAGATAAACCGTTACATAAAAGTAGACCCACCACCCCGACAGTTTTTGCACTTTTACTAAATTAGTTTTATTTCACAAGTGTATACCTAGTTATGAACAATTCATATCTATATATCTATATCATTCATTGGTTTCTTCACATGTTT